CCAGACGCGCCGCGGTCCCATGGCCCGGGTCCTCCGCGGATTTGTTCCGACTCCCCCCAGCAGACCAGGGAGATGCGGAGCAGCTTTTCTCACCCCGGAGGATGAGGGCGGCGGGACCTCGGCGTGTCTGGGCGGTCCCACCGCCCACATCCTCCGGGGCGAGAAAAGCCCGGTTCGTAAGTGCGGATCCGACTTAAGTCGGATCCGCGTAACTTGGGGACTGCCTGTATACCTTTCTCTGATAAATCGAGGAGCCCATTATCAATTTTTTTGTTCTCTGTCTAGCTACATATAGTTAGCCCCTTAAACTTTTCTTTGTTGAGATAAAGAATTTCCATTCCTTGAACCTTTGACTATAGGGCATGCTTTCCAGTCCTTTAATCATTCTAATGACTCTTCAATTTATCATCATCCTTCTTGAAGTGTGAATGCTAGAACTGGAAATGTATTCCAGGAGTAGTCATACCTGTGCCAGATAGAGGTAATAATATACTCCCTACTCCCACTCAGTGTTGCCGTGTTTATTCATTAACCCTTTAGTATCACACTGGGAACTCATACTCAACTGATAGGCTTTGGCCCACAATATTTTTTAAATTGTCTTTTTCCCAGAATACAGCCCTTCATCCCTGTAACTAAACCTATATTCTTTGTTTTTGGAAGTATACATTTACTTTTGGTCTTCTTCAAATGCACATTGTTTACTTGTTCCAGTTTACATGGGACCCATATTGCTCTGTATTAGTGACCTGTCTGCACTATTTACCAATCTTTGTCATCTGTAAATATATTTTCTTCCTAATCATGCCCCCAATAAACATTTTTCTGTTCCCCCATATGGGATGCACCTCACCATTTGGGGACCATTGGTGTAGGGTAAAGAACCGATCCCTGAGGGATCCTACAAGAAACACTCTTGCTCAGTGATTATAGCCCATTTACAATCATATGGTGGAAGCTAGATAGAAGAGATGGGAGAGGTAATGTCTTTCATTGGATCAGTGTCTGTTGGTGAGAGAGATGAGCTTTCAAGCTTATTCAGAGCTGTTCAGGTTTTCTTGAGATCTCTCAGTTAGCCAGGTTTTAATCCATATTATTTGCACCATATTAATTTTGTATTGTTCTAGGCTTTTTTAAATAAAAACATTGTGGTGTACCAAATTGGGTATCTTACAGAACTCTGTTACATTAATTCCTAGCTTTGTCAGCTAAACTTTTAATTTCAACAGCAAATAACATCTCTGGGAATTGCAACAGTCATCAGCTACAACAACTGGTTACAAAGTAAGTAATTTAGCACCTGGAAATGTAATGTAGCTGTCTCAGCACACTCAGCAAGTGCTTTGTGGATTGCTGGTCTGCCTTTCACATTTCAGGAACTGTTTCATAGTATTAAAAAAAAATAGATGGGTACAATAAAACTCTCAAGTGATTATTATAGAGCAGGGGCTCTAAAACTTCACTACACTGCACATCTCACAAAATAAATTGCTACATATCCCCAGAAGTGGGAACCAAAGCCTGAGCCACAATGCCCCTGGTGGGGTGGGGTCAAAGCCGAAGCCAAAGAGCTTCAGCTCCACGCAGGGGGCCTGTAATATAAGCTGCACTGGTAAGGGCAGAAGCCCTTGAGTTTTGGCTTTGGTTCTGGGGCAGTGGGGCCCTGGAACTCATCAAGTCTAAGCCAGCCTGGTGATCCCATTAAGATGGGGCCACAACTCACATTGGGAGAAAGTGCAACCACTTATATAGACCTATGCCTAAAATATATTGTGATGCTTATCTTTGTTCCTTTTCAGCTGGAAGAATGGTGGTTGAATGTGGCTTATCTTGATGCCCGCATACCAACACAAATATATTACAACTTTGGAGGCCCAGGCCCTTACCTTGAACACTACTGGCCACCCAAAGAAGGAACTCAAATAGAAAGAGGATGCATAGCTACATGGCATACCTTGAAATACTGGGAGCTAATAAGAACGTAAGAAATAAAAAAAAAATGTAATTGTTTCTAAATATCTGTGTACTATGCACGCTTACAATCATGAACAAAATGGGCCAAGTTCTTTCTAGATGTAACTCCACTATACTTGGATGAATTTTGCCATTTTGATTTGTTGATGTAATTTTCACCCCATGTTTAAAAGTTAATCAGAAACTATGCTTTTGTATATTCTGTTTACTGCAGGGAAAAACTGGCTGTGCATAGACATGGAAATATGCCTTTGGACATGAACCAGTTCCGAATGCTGTTCTGTACTTGCAAGATTCCAGGGATTACTAGAGATTCTTTAAGCAGCTATTTTAGAACTGGTAAACATATGCAGCTTTGCTGGGGTAACAGATAACTGATTTATGTTACAGGACTAAAGTGTGGTCATGTTAACAATGAAACAAAAACTGTATTCTTTGCCTGTTTAAAAACTTGCTCTAGCCAGAGAGAATTTTGATTAGTCATATATTGGTGTCACAGGTTACCTCATCTTTGTACTGTGTACGTCCCACAGCTGAGTTGATTTTTGTTGTACCTTCTAAATTGGAATTTATCTTTATAATTTGGTTGGATACTGACAAAGATAAAGGAGTCAGGTCAGATCAAATAAAGGGTTAGAGCATCAGGAATGGACACATTGGAGAACGTGCAACAGAGGGCGACAAAAATGATTAGGGGGCTGGAGCACATGACTTATGAGGAGGGGTTGAGGGATTTGGACTTAACCACATATGCTCAATCATAAACTAATTTTGGGGGGGAGGGGGTTAAAAAAAAGACATAGTAAAGAGTGGCAGTCAGCTTATGAATGGGTCATTTTGTTTTACCAATTTTTTTTTTAAACTTGGCGGGAGCGGAAGGATTTGGCAAACTTCAGTTCCCAGCCTAGCAGGGCAAACTGCTGGCAGACAGCACATTTTATGTATCTGGTGCATTTGTAGGTACGGAGTCCCTCAGCTCCCATTGGCTGCTGTTTGTTGTTCCCAGCCAATGGGAGCTGCAGGAAGCCATGAGAGCTGAGGTACTAGCTGCCAGTTCCAGCGCTCCTATTGGCCAGAAATGGGGAATCAGACACTAGGAGCTTCAGGACTCCATGCCTGCAGACACTCCAGGTAAACAAAATATCCTGACATGCCAGTGGCTTACACTGATGAGCAGGGACCAGTAGTTTGCAAACCGCTGATACAGTGTTAGCTTATGAACGGGTCATGTGATTTTTAGCTTGGGGGATCAACTTATGAATGAACGGGCTTGTGACTGAGTATATATGGTGTGTTTAGTATACAGAAGAGTGAGGGGGGATTTGATAGCAGCCTTTAACTACCTGAAGGGGTATTCCAAAGAGAATGGAGAGAAGCAGTTCTCAGTGGTGACAGATGACAGAACGAGGAGCGATGTTTTCAAGTTGCAGTGGGGGAAGTCTAAGTTGGAATAGGATGAACTATTTTACTAGGAGGGTGGTGAAGCACTGGAATGGGTTACCTTGGGAGGAGGTGGAATCTCCATCTCTAGAAGTTTTTAAGTCCTGTCTTGACAAAGCCCTGGCTGGGATGATTTATTTTGGATTGGTTCTGCTTTTAGCAGGGGGTTGGATTCCAAGTCTTTTCCAACCCTATGATTCTATTTTTACCCTCACCTCGTGTCCCTTTTGGTATAGAATGTAGTGCTTACTTCTTGCTGTTGAATAAACTGGGTTATATCAAATTATTTTTTTGCAACTATCGCACTTGTTTATGCCAGTAGTAAATATGCATGCCCTGAAAATTATAATATGGACTTGTAATTCCCTCCATATTTCTGTCTCCATAATCTCCTTTTAAGGAACATGCTCCCCATGTGTTTTGTTTCTCCCTCCTCCAAATTTTCAGCTTCCCTCCATCTCACTTCTGTCTTGTCAAAAGTTTTACTTGCCAAGTGTCCTCTGTAATCTGTCCCTTTAAGCTCCTGGGGCTTTTGTGGATACTACAAGCATAAGAACCATGGGAAGACTAGAGTGAGGCGGGGGTACCTAATAAGCTTTGTAAAGATTGGGGATTTCTCCAACAAATCTCATATGGCTCAGTAAGATGTTGATGCACTTACTTCAGTACACTCCTGTATAACTCCTAAGGTTCTTGGAGTGGAATCCCCCTTCTCTCTCCCTCCCTCCCCCCCATAGACCGTAAGGTGTGTGGATTAGTGAGCTCAGGAAGTCAAGAGAACATGGGGAATGCATTCCCTATTCTCCTTTCCTCCACAATTCCTTGTTAGGACTGTAATAAACATTTGAATATGGGAATTTCTTTTATTGTTAAAGAAAAGTTAAGTTTGCATACACTAGCAATGGTTTGAATGTGCATGACCTTTCAAGAACATTGATTAAAAAAGAAAATCCAAGCAATAGAAACCATAGCACCCAAAGAACCTCAGTTATGTCGCTGTGAAGATGCAAGCCTGTGATCTCGCTTCTTGGCATGTAGTGTATTTCATATGTTTCTGACAGCACTTTTTGTGCTACTTTATCACTCCACTAGTTTTTGCTGTTTTCACATAAGTGCTGTAATTTCATCTCCAATGATGAGATTTACATGTAGAGACATTCTAGAGGAGGGACAATGTCTTAATTTTGCTATACATCTAAAACAGGAATTTATAATTTTTGAAGTATTATAAAGAAGGATATAAAGCAAACCAATTAGTATATTAATAAGATCAATGCTTTTTTATGGGCATTCATTAAATGGAGCTCTATATATATCATATACATAATAGTTTAGTACATTTCTCATTTTTCTAAAGCAAAGATATGAGGCAGAGTTAAAGTTTGAAGAGACCTAATTTCAGAAGTGCAACTTTAGCTTTGTGTTTTATGCGTTTCTAACTTTTTTGTCTTCAACTTGGTCAAACCTTAACTTTATGTTGTTAATTTTTGTGTGGCATAATTAATAATATTGTCTAAGTAATTACTGGCAAGACTTCCAGTGGTGAGTGCAATAACTGCATCTGTGCATAGTATTAAACATTCATGTACCAGTGTTCAAATACTCAGATTTGCCTATTCAAATTGAGTACTAGTTGATCCATTTTTGCATTAATTCCTGATTTGTATAGCAAAACATTATAGCATGTGCTACAAAGTGTTTTTGCTTATCTTTACAGCAGTGTTTCTCAAAGTGGTCCCCAAAACCATTTTGAGAAACCTGCTAACTGGCCACTCCGGTGTGTTTATTTACCGGCTCTGCGGCCACAGAGCTTTGCAGCCTGGCCCAAACCGCTTCCCACAACTCCCTTTGGCTGCAAACAGTGAACTGGAGCCAATAGGAGCTGGTAAATTAAACACACCAGAGTGACCAGTCAGCAGGTTTCTCCGAATGGTTTTGTGGGACACTTTGAGAAATTGCTTTACAGCCACTTGCTATGCCTACCTTCTTGAACTTCACCCAGTGTCATCCTTTTTCTTTCATCAGTATGGGAGTAATTTTGCATGTAGCATTTTTACTCCCTGATGTGAGAATAGTTTCCTCACTTATAAATTTGTTAGTTATGAAAAAGGCAATAAACATTAGGGGTGTGAATAGTTAACTGGTGGGCTAGAGAAGCCCCTATCCACAGCGAACCCAGTCTAGCCAGAGCAGTGCACTATGGGTTGAGGCACTCCAGCCTGGCCTTGGCAGGTTTGCGGGGGTCCGTCCCCATGGTTTAAATGGTTAACCAGTAATGACTAACTAGTTAACTGATTAAACGGGATTTTACATCCCTAATAAACATTGGTGGTGGTTAATAATAAAGTTTGCATGCCTCTGTGGATTCTGTCAGTCTTTCAGATGCAGCCTTTGAGATTTACTGTCAGATTTCAAAAACAGAATTACTCTGAAAATAGATGGCAAGTTTGGTTTTGGTTGCTGTTTTTAAATTTACAAAGCCTTAAATGCTAAAGGCCAAAATAACGTGTGGTATTTGTACATTTTTGTACATGGGTCACTTAAGTGTCTATAACTTGTCTCCTCTCTTATGCCTTTATCTAAAAATTGTTGTGTTTTTATCTTCCTTTCAGAGAGTGAAGGTGAATGCCCATCCCACTTAATAGTCTTGTGTCGAGGTCGTGTGTTTGCCTTTGATGCAGTACATGAAGATCATATACTGAGTCCTCCAGAGATTTTCAGGTTTTCAAATTACTTCATATTTATTAAAGTGCACAACAAAATGGATTGGGCTTTGTTTGCTAAACAGTTTATAAGTTTAAAGTGTTTTGGAAGGTGAAGGAATGCTTATAATAGGCATGAAACATGAGCTTGTATATAGTATTGCAAAATATGGTAAGATGCCTTGAAAAACAAGCAAATGTGGTATTCTAAAAGTATCTCATGAAGGTGTTTGAGTAGCAAATATCAATTATGTGTTGGAGTTCTTGGCATGAAATTGTGTTAGGATTATCTGTGAGATCTGAGAATCAATCTATGTTGCAATGAGATATTCACCATAATCATTAACAAAAAGCTAACCAAACAAAATCCACCACCGCACTTTCACTCTGCTCCCTCTTGAACACATTTTAAACATAATCAAAGCTAGCTGTGCATGTGAAGTCACATTTAGCAGTGATATATTGACCTTTTTTCCTGCTTCTGATTTCACCAGAGACATGATTGAGCCATAACATATGTTGTTTGATAACATGTGTAAGGGCCTTTCTGCCAGCTGGGGATTACTGGAAACCAGCTACATTTCTTACCCCTGCATGAAGGCCTGGAAAGTCTGTCTTTTTTTTTTCTTTTTTTTTTTTTTGCCACTAAGGAAGTACAAATAAGTTGAATTAGAACTAAGAGAGGTGCAGAGAGAGAATTTGACACTATATACTGTAGACCTTGTGTTAGCGCACACTGCTATGCATTTATTGCTGCTTCAGATGCTCTCTCTAAGGAATTGGCATAGGTATTCTTCCTCTGAGCATATGAGATTTATGAATTTCCTTAATAATTATGATTATCACTATTATAATAGTTATGTTTTCCCAAAAGTGTTTTAATTAATTAAAAAAGAAAAGATGCTAACTTTCCAGACCACAGTATTAAACTGTGCACAGGCTGGCTTGTTTTATAGGTCATATTCTGCTGATGTAGACCTAGACCAGTGGTCTCCGACTTTTTATGCTCAAGATCACTTTTTGAATTTAAGGGCAAACCAGGATCTGCCCTACCCACTCCACCTTCCCCACTTTCACTCACATTCATCTGGTTGGGCAGAATGTTGGGGTGCAGGAGTTGAAGGATGCAGGCTCTGGGAGGCAGTTTGGATGCAGGAGGCTTCAGGCAGGGGCAGAGTTTTTGGGTGCAGGAGTGAGGAATGCATGCTTTGGGAGGGAGTTTGCTCCAGCCTGGATCCCCCACATATATCCACACTCCTCCCTGAGTTCACAAACTCCCCTCCTGCATCAGAACACTCTGGGTGGAGGACAGGGCTCCAGGCTGGGGCAGAGTATTGGCTACAGGGTGGGATGAAGGGTACAGGCTCTAGGAAGAAGTTTGGGTGCAGACTCAGAGTTGGCACAGGGGTTAGAGTTGCAGGCTGCAGCTGAGGGGCTTACCACTGGCAATTCCCAGTTGGTAGCTCAGCAGGGCTCAGTCAAGCTCTCTCTGCCAGGCCCCATGTGCCACTCCTGGAAACAGCTAGCTGGCTGAGTGCAGACACCCTTGGGCTATGTCTACATTGCATCCCTTTTGTGCAAAAGCCTATGCAAATGAAGCACAGATTAGCATATTCATGATGATGTTGTAATGATACAGCATACTGAGAATTGTGATGGATCAAGCAAACACTAAAGAAAGGAACAAATGAAAATCGAACAAGTTCCTAGCAGAAATGCCAGATACAGATTAGCTCAATGATGCACACAAACTTGCTGCTACTTATGGGTATTGCCGTTCTGCTTTTTGCCACTAAGGAAGTACATAGGTAACGTGATCTTGAGGGTGGTATATCTTTACAGGTAATGTGATTTTGAGAGTGGTATATCTCGTTCACTTCAGTTGCTATATATGAATACATCTATATTAATGTTGTTTAACCGATTAGTTAGTAGGTGGAAGTGCCAAATACAAAGTGTCAACTGCATCTTAAAACTTGTGCTTAAAAATTCAGAAAGATATCGTCTTAAAGGGTTAACATGGTAGAGAGGGAACACCAAATACAGTATGTTCAGAGTCATGTTCACAGGTAGACCTCTTGGCTGTATCTAGACTGCCAGTTTTTCCAGAAAATCAGCCACTTTTCCAGAAAAACTTGCAAGCTGTCTACACTGGCCGCTTGAATTTTCGCAAAAGCTCTGACGATCTCATGTAAGATTGTCAGTGTTCTTGTGGAAATACTATGCTGCTCCTGTTCGGGCAAAAGTCCTTTTGCGCAAAACTTTTGCACAAAAGGGCCAGTGTAGACAGCCCAGATTTGTTTTCCGCAAAAAAGCCCCGATCGCGAAAATGGCAATCAGGGCTTTTTTGATGAAAAGTGCATCTAGATTGACACGGACGCTTTTCTGCAACAGGTGCTTTTGCGGAAAAGCATCCATGCCAATCTAGACGCTCTGTTCCGAAAATGCTTTTAATGGAAAACTTTTCTGTTAAAAGCATTTCTGGAAAATCATGCCAGTCTAGACATAGCCCTTAAGTACCAAACTTTGAATAAACAGTTTTTTGAAGTGCTGGGTATGCAATGGTGAAGAGAAAGTTGCTACATTGTTTAAGGTTTGGTGCGTGATACAATCTGGATCGAGTATGTTTCTCTCCTATGATTCTCAGGCCTTGCATGGATTGGAGATTTGCCCTTCAGCCATTTATAACTAGTTACCAATATGACTGTCTCATTGCACTGTCCTAGTGTTTTTTATGGATAGTGTGACTTGAACCATTAGAGGTATCCCATGTTTGAAACTAAGTTAAGTGTCACTGGTGCAAGTTGTGGTTTTCTTCGCCTAACTATGGGTTTGCATTGGTGCAGCAATCTCCAGAGGTTGAAATCAGAGCAAGTCTCCAGTGCAGACAAGGCATTAAACTATCATTTATCCTCATCAGGGGTGACACACTCCTTATATTCACTTAATCTGATAATTAGATATGAAGTAAGAAATAATAATTAGATTTTGGGCTTACTAAAGTGAAAACTTTAATCCAGTCTCCATGTCTTCATTCTATTTTACTAATTTTCAAAATCTTCTTCAAGGCAACTTGCATACATCCAAAAGAGGTGCCATAATGAACCTGATGGACCAGGGCTGGCAGCCTTAACAAGTGGGGAGAGAACCAAGTGGGCAGAGGTTGGAAAATTTCAGTGGTCTTTCAGAACAGTGTTGATTAACTGGATTTGCAATATTTCAATGATTTAACTATTTTTAATTGTCTTATAGACACGTGAATATTTAATTAATCTCAATCCAAAGAATTTAAATCTACTGGAAAAAATTCAGAGCAGCTTGTTTGTGATCTCCCTTGATGATTCCAGTCCTGATGGAACCCCTGAGGATTATACTCCGGTAGTTCCAGATTTCAGAATAATTTTACTTCTTTCTTTAAGCAGCTTTTGTTTGTGCATCTGTGACTGTGCATATGATTTGTTTGTATAAAATATTGTGGAAAGCCATTTTAACCATCTACCTGAAGATTTACAGTCTAACAGCTCCATTGTGTCCTTGCCTCTATAGCATAGGAAAATTGACATGGCCAGGATTCATTGCCTCTTCTTGATGGCCAGGACTGGACCAATATCTGATAGATCTTCCATCTTGGAGGTGTAAATGTGGTGTAAATTTACCCTCTGTGTCTTGCTGAATTCTGTAAGCCACAGAAGCCCTGATCACCATAATCTAGCCTTTTATTTTTAAACTACAAATACCAGGCTTGTACAGATGATTTTTCTTCAGATGGATATATTTGTTCCATTTTTGACATGTCTACTGTCATGAAGAGAGCCACCTTAGTCATAGTTCATCTAAAATCTCCTTAGGGCAGTACAGTGCAGTAAATAATAGCTGCTTCAAGTGTGGAGTTGGTTACTCATTAAAAAAGGATCTACATACGTCCAGTGTAATTAATGAGACAAGATTCTGGTGCACATTCAGTATTTCTAAATCCCATTATATTAATTTTTGATTTAGATCACCAAGTTGGCTATAACAGGAGATCCAACTGTATGCTGGGGAGACAAATCCTACAACTGCATAATATTTTCCAATGGGACATTTGCGTCAAACTGTGATGTAAGTAAAAAATACCATTCCCTTTTTCCTAGCAGATTTACAGCAGGCTCTTGTATCAGTTTTTCCCCTTCTGAAACTGAATATTTTTATAGGTTTTAAATTTGTCGGTCTTTTAGTGCAGTTTCATGTATAGGACACCTTATCTTGCAAACATCCCAGGGCAGGTGGTATATACATCTGAAGAAGAGATTACGCAGTGCATGTTTTGATTGAATACAAGATTTTGAAAGTCTAAATCTTACTTTTAAGAATGTTTTGAGGAGGGAGTTTCTTGAATTTGATGACTAGTTAAGAGAAGGGGAATATTATGTAAAAAAAAAAAATTGCAAGTTAATAGTAGTATTATTTTCTTGTATGACATTAGTTCTCAAAACATGCTAAGTACTGCTCTTACACATTGTTTCTGCCAGGTTTGTTCATCACCCTGGTGCCATATTGTGCTAGTCTTCTTGGCTGCAGTGCTGTTAAGAGAATAGATGGATACTGTATGTGGCTATATCTGTACAGGAAGAAGGGCTAGACATGTAATCTCTTAATGAATTCTACACAGAACAGGAAAATCTTCAGCATAACTAAGAAGGAATGGGGGTGGAAATTAGGAGGTTCGATCAACTTCTAACTATGTAAGCATTATGGTATATTGTTTTGTGTGTTTTAGCATTCTCCTTTTGATGCCATGGCTTTGGTAGTCATGTGCTCTTCTCTTGATCAGAAGATTATTGAAAGTGAGGGAAGGTGGAAGGTATGGATCCATTAAGTTCCCATTCTGATTAATTAACATTTTCACTCTTATGGATATTGATTCTTTTTTTATTTAAAAATCAAAACAGGGATCAGATAAAGTGCGGGACATTCCATGGCCAGAAGAACTTGTTTTCACATTGAACCAGAAAGTGCTAAATGACATTGGACGAGCTAAAGAACTGTATGCTCAGCAGGTGAGGTTTCTCTATCTGTTTCTTAGGGATCACTGAGGCTTTCTTTTTTTTCTAAACATTTGTAATGGCCTTGCCTCAGGCCAGAGAACAAAGACAACTGGTCCATATTCAATCCTGTGGTTAACTCCTGTGGCTTCAGTGGAGTTTTCAGAGATAAACCTGTTCCATTGTTTTGTGAGGTGAATGCGCAGTTCATTATATTTGAATTGAAGCAGGCTGTGATTGGAACACTTGTTGAATTCTCCTGTGGTAACCTAAATTCTTTATTTGTTAGGTATCTGACTTGCAGCTCGTGAATTATGCCTTTACAGCCTTTGGCAAAGCACTGACCAAGAAGAACCGGCTTCATCCTGATACATTTGTTCAGCTTGCTGTCCAGCTGGCCTATTATAAACTTCATGGACAGTAAGAAAAGTTTATTACCCAGGCTAGCAATTAAATGGATCGTGGAACAAACTGATAAATCTGGGCAAATTCAAAGGGCTTTGCATTCCACTGTGTTGTGCTGCATTCATAGAAGAATGAAGAAATAAGTCATAATGTTTTATATAGTTGTACAGGACCTGATCCTCTCCCATTGAAAACAGTGGGACTTCTGCCACTGACTTCAAAAGGTGCAGGAGCAAGTCCTTTATGTCACAGTGTGATAGATGCTATACTACTATGTACTGAGATGGAGGGTAGGGAGTAAATGAATAGTCAAGTATACAATTGGCTTATCGGTAATCTTCTCGACTATTTGCATTCCCCCCACTGCCTCTGTATCAGAAGCAGCGGAGTGGGGAGCAGGAGCTGGTGCTAGGGGAAGCTGGCTTAAAAGCCAGTTCCCCCCAGCACCTACTCTGCGGTGCCATCTGCCCTCATCCCCTGCCTGCCGCAGCTTCTATCAGAGGCAGTGTGGGGGCCAGGGGAGGCTGCTTCTCAGCAGCAGCCTTTGCTCACTCCCCCAGAAGCTTGTGTCCATGGGGAGCTCAGACCCTGCTGTCACCCCGTGCGACAGCCTCTGGATCAGAGGCAGGGGGTGAGAGGCAGCCGGTCCGCAAAGGGAGCTGGTTTTTAAACTGGCTTCCCTCGCGGACTGGTTCCTGCCTAGCACCCCCTGATACAGAGGAAGCAGCACAAGGTGGCAGGGAGCCCCCCAGGAGTGGGGCCAGAGTGCACTGGCTGTCAGCTCTGCCCCCGGGGACTATAGAATAGGCGAGTAACCGCTATCTAACAGCTCTAATGGATAGTAGCCAGTCAGAGCTTTATTAGCATTCCATAAAACATACACATGAGCAGTACTAGATAAACAGTAAGGCTAGGAGTTGGCCCACAAAGATCTGTATTTATTATCTCACTAGAGGAGGGATAAAGTAGGTGAACTAAGATCTTTTAGTGAACAAACAGAAATTAATCTAGTAGAAGATATTACCTCACTCTCTGTGTGTCTCTAATATCCTGGGGTCAACACGGCATGCTTCACTAGTTGCTTATTCCCATTCTTTTGGCCCAAGTGCGAAGAAAAGCTTATAGTTAAACATTATTCTTTGATAATAAATCTCTCTTCCAAAATCCCTACCCTGTAGAAGACTTAGCAAACTCACTATTATCATCCAGTCCCTATCACCAACAAATGCCATCTGTCAAAGATATAACAACATAATGAAAAAATAGTGTACTACCTGTTCTTACACCCGAAGCAAGTGGCTAAGGAAAGTTTTATTTTGTTATCCCAGCCAAAAGTTACTGGAGAGATTCTCTTTGTTTGTGGTTATGTTCCTCTCCTACCGGTGCCTTTACCGCCATCCGCTAGCAATTAAAATAGCTTAAATGTGAGTCATCACCAAGCTGGCAGATGGTTGCCTGACTCTGTCATCTGGAGAAAGGCCATTGAACACTGGGTTATATTAATTGCTGAACAAAAACAATCTGGGTAAGAACTCTTCTTAAACTTGTTCGTAGATGCCCCTTGTTACTAGTGGATCCCCCAATATGTGGGTTTTGCGTGGGACACATGTCTTAACCTTGATGGAAGAATATATAGGAAATTAAAGCTTGCTTATTTTTAACTCATCTATGTAGGGGAAAATGGAAGCCTTAGAAATTGCAAACAGCAGCTCTTGAAACAGTTCAGATTTTTTATGATTTTATAATGGCACCTGTATTTTCTTAGCCATAACTCACCTCTTGAAAACTTTCTTATGGTTGTATTACATTTCAGATGTTTAAAAGAAAATGAGTGGCTTACTTTTACTTGTAATTGGGTGTAAAGGATAGAATAAATGTTATATTACATTTTTCCTTTAGAAAGAAGAAAAGATTTATTATTGTAGTGAAACATTCTGTCCTAATTTTGCTATTAAGCCCAGGCTGCTGTTATGAAACTGCCTCGACCAGACGTTTCTTCCATGGACGCACAGAGACTATGAGACCATGTACAATGGAAGCAGTGGAGTGGTGCAGATCTATGCTGGATCCATCTTGCAGTGTATGTATTGAAAATCCTTTTCTGCTGTAACATTTTTAAAAGTCCTGCCATTTGATCTACTTTGGATAAGAGAATATGCCATTATTTGGGTCAGTAACTAGAGAAGTTGTCTTCCTTTGGTGTAATTAAAGGGGGAGTGTCACCTAAAGCCTGGCTGTCAACATTTTCTCTCTTAGGTGAACTGCCGTATACGACCCTACTCTTTCTGCTTGATGTTGTACTCTCCCCACACATATACCTCCCCCTCCCATTTCCTTTCTAACAACAGAAAAAAATTATTTGCTTGTCTTTTTTTTTATATGTGGTCCATAAATAAATAAATAGAATATAGTATCAACGCAGAAGCTTGTATTTTAGTGTTTGGAGCAATTTGCTGATTTATACATTACCAGGAAAATACATCAACTATTAGGACTTACCTCGCTATCAAATCTAAGGTTAAATATGATCACAAAACTCTTAGGCTGTGTCTACATTGGCATGATCTTGCGCCAAAGCGGCCACTTTTGCGCAAAAGCATACTGTCTGTCTACGCTGGCGGGGAGTTCTTGTGCAAGAACACTGACGTTCTAATGTGTGAAATCAGTGCTTCTTGCGCAAGAACTATGATGCTCCCGCTCAGGAATAAGCCCTCTTGTGCAACTGTTATTGCGCAAGAGGCCAGTGTAGACAGGCAACATGAATTTCTTGCGCAAGAAAGCCCTATGGCTAAAATGGCCATCGAAGCTTTCTTGCGCAAGAGAGCGTCAACACTGGCACAGATGCTCTTGCACAAAAGCACATTTCTTGCGCAAAGGTACATGCCAGTGTAGATGCTCTCTTGCGCAAATACTTTAACGCAAGAACTCTTGCGTTAAAGAGTATTTGCGTAAGATCATGCCAATGTAGCCACAGCCTTACACTTTTAAAACCGTGTAATGGGTAACACTTCTTGGCAAGCAAAAATATAGCTTGGTAGAGGAAGAAGCAGTTATTTTAAAATAATTGAATATTTCTAGCTCCTTGATTTACCCGTAATTTCATATAATCCATAAAAGTAATCGTTCATTTTACATGACAATTAATAGCTGTTTCCATTGCTTAAATGAACCTTAGTTTTTCCAGTTTTTCTCATTAGTAGGCAACATATACATCAGTCAGTGGTTTTAAATCAAAAAAGTAGTTCATTACCCAACATACAGTCAACCTATGGATGTAGATAAGTTCCTAGGGGAGAGGTCCACCTATAGCTATTGATCAGAGATGCAGTGCCATGCTCTGAATGTTTGTAGCCTTTGTCTGCAACAAGCTGGGAGTGGATGATGGGGACGAATCACTTGATGATTGCATGTTCTTTTCATTCCCTCCGAAGGACCTGGCATTGGCCACTCAGAAGATAAAGGGCTAGATGGACCATTGCTCTGACCCAGTATGACCATTGTTATGGATACATTGCCAGTGTTTTGGTGATCCAAAGAAATCATTATTTTTCAATAACCAAGTTATCCTTGCTTTGCTATCATGTTAATGGGCCCATCGATTCTCTTACTTTTCTATGCTCTGTTGTAATTTGATAGTATTCTTTCTTAAAACACTTTTTAAAATCTCTAGCTATTTCTTCTTACTGCTTTCTCTTCTTTCAGTACATTCATTCTACTAATGCTGTTGTCTTTTGCCTCCTGTATTTTATTATAGTTCTAGATTTACTTGTTACTAATAAGGCTACATTTTAGTTGAGGGTACTTTTAGCAAAAGTCATAGGCAGTAAACAAAAATTCACAATCTGTGACCTATCCATGATTTATATGTGGGAGCTGTAGGGTGTTGCTGTCATTTGGAGGCAGTGTGCAAAGCTTCCTGGCCATGCCTTTGCCTAGGAGCTGAGGTAAAGGGATGTTGCTGATTCAGTGGAGCCCCCTGAAATAAGCACTGTCCAGAACCCTCACGCCCTCCCACACCCTGAGCTCCCTCCCATACTAACATTTCTGCTGCTGCTGGGAGTGGGGAGTATAGCAGCCTGAGATTACCTCAGTAGCAGCCAATGTGGCTGGGCACAGGGCTGCCTGAACTGCTCAGGCAGCCCCTGGGGCAGCTGCACTGGCCACTGCAGAAGGCCACGGAATCTATGACTATCCATGACAAACTCACAGCCTTAATTATTAACTACAGCAGCTTAGATCTGGATCCTGCAGGCTAATCTTCCACTGAAGTTCGCAAAGCTTTGCCTAGGGAGATTGAGTTGGGATCTAGCAGTGAGCCAGTCTATCTCAGCTTCATGGTAGCTCTTTTCAGTGTCTCACTAACCTGGATAGAGGCACCTCTGGATAGATTCTTAAGGGAGACTGAAAACTCAAAACTCTCCAATTTAGGTGCTCAGGCTCCCTCTACAGTGTGTGCGGAGAGCTAAGCACCTAAAAAGGGATTCACAGAAGCTAGCATGATGAAAGGAGAACTGCCTAAGCTACCCAGTAGGAAATGTTGAAGAGAAGGGTGTGTGTGGCCTATAAATTGCTCATCAAAGGGAGTTAGGTCTTTGTTTGGGATTCACAGCCATGAACCCTCTCCTGGAGTAAGATACCTAGGCTAGGTGAGCCCTTCTGAAGAACAAAGATGATGCCCCTCTTCTGTCAAGTCCAATGATTAGCCCACACAAAGCTAGTTGACACTCAGGTGAATAGCACCATGTGAGTGATAAAGCCCACTGCCATAGAATGGTTACTGCTGCTGGCAAACATCGCTCCACCAAGCATTCGTTGACTGGAGCAGGAATACAGACTATACCAACGTATCAACTGCCGCAGCTAACCTCTTCCCATCCAGAAATACTTTGATCAGCCACCACCATCGCATCTAAAATCCCGTAAGCCTCCCTGGCAGCAAGCGAAGAAAGTCACAGCCAATGTCAAGGAACTATGGCAAGCTGAATGGCTGCAAGTGGAGGCCCCAAACAAACATCTGGTGTTGGATCTCACCACTGAGCAGAAAGGCTTTGATCTTCCCCAGAGACTGTGGTGTGTCCTAAACCAGCTTAGGACTGGTCAGGGCAGGTGCGGTTATCTACTGCCTAAGTGGAATTTGTTGCCATCTCCACTTTGTAATTGTGGCAGTCCGCAAACTCTGTATCACATTGTTGCAAATGCCCAACATGAAAATTAACTGGCTCATTGGAGG